ATGTGTAATTGCGCACAGGAAGTTTTTACTTATTTTTTAATTCGATCTGTTGTGTGTTCCCGGAACAGGACTTGCCTATCGAGGAGTAAATAGTAACATAAGCAAGAGAAAAGGTCGTGTATATTTTAATAAGATAATATTATTTACTGTATTCTTACTTTAATTAACTTTTACGGAACAAGTGGCAATGTATTTTGATCTCTTTTAGTCAGAAATGTCGCTTTTTATTTGGGGTGAGAAGTGAATTTGCTACATGGGTTGACTGGAGTAGAAAGGAATTTATGTTTAATCGATATGTGAATGTGTTTTTTAACTGGCAGCTTTTATATGTTTTACTCATTGTTACCGTTTTTTCTTTTTTTTTTTTTTCATATAAGCTCAGTGTCTATTTGAAAGTAATTCTCGGAAGAGAGTTAAAAAAAAATATTAAAAAATATAGAAGAAAATAACTTTATAATTCATCTCAATAATATATCCATTTGTAAGTATGATCTTTAAAAATGATTCGTGGTATTTCTTTCAAATGGATGCTAGCCAGTAGTAATTCCTTCATCGTTTTTTATTACTTATATCTTTCGTCAATGTGTAAATTGTGATTTAGCAAAATCGTTTAAACATTAAACTGAAATTGTAACCACGATTATGCTACATATAAATAAGTTTTTTGCAATACGTTGCTTGTTAATAACTATCAAAGACAAAGTTTTTTATTTTGCATTTGCAGTAATTTCAATAAATAATATGTAATGTTTTTATAATACGTTTTAATTATAATTATATGTATAATGAACAAGGATATGTCTCGTGGTTACATATCGAATTGCTTAGTAATACATTGTTTCTAAAAAAAATTCCGCAATATTTTTTAAAGATACTCACAGGAATTCGGTTCGGTCGTGTAGATTTTTATTTTATACGAAAATTTGAAAACAGGTAGAACGAGTATGAAATTGAGAAAAAGGAGCACCGACACTAATATTATTGACATTTACGCGTAATGATTTTAAAGTAAGCGAATTACATTTATAAGAAAAGATTATAAAAATATATATTTATCTATGTCTTCTGTGAAGATAGAAAATAGTACTCTCTCACTCTATATTGATGATATTGAAAATCGAGGCCCGATAAAAAGATACAAAATGCAGAAGTAGACTAAGGAAAAGAAAAAAAAGAAACAACTTGCACTGTACACAATAACATATGATACGATCAATCGATTGACTCAGATTTGTTAAATATCTTTGTATATATTTACATGAAGACCATGAGAAATTGTTCAAGTTCCAGCAGCTACATTTTTGTAATAAGTACTCCCGTGAGAAGAGAGAAACTGTTTTGCTTGCAACTCGTTATGAATCCAGTTCCACATTTCGAAATTAAAGTCAAAAAATGCAAAAATATTCTTAATATTTTCATAGAGATTTATTAGTTTTTTATAGATACAGTACTTTGATACAAGAATAAATAATTTAATATTTCTTTATTAATTTACTTATTTTTGTTTATCTATGTTAGTAACTATATTGCTAAATAGCTGTATGTAAATTATGTATTTACTGAGAAATGAAAGAATTACTTATGAATTATTTAATATATTTTATTTACTCTTTGTATTTATAAACAGTTAGATACATAAATGAGTAATTAAAATATATTTATGAAATAGAATATTTTTAATTATGGTTTAAACAACCGTATATTTATCTCTAATGTAATTAAATCGAATTTTATCTCTATGAAAGTATTGACTACGTCTATTCGGCCCGTTAATTCGACAAACTTTCGAAAAAATTTGTATCTTTTAAAAATTTTATTTATTCATATCCTGGAACTGCCATATCAAAGAATTGAGCTTGATTGTAAAAATGACTAAAAAAGATTCATCGGAAAAAAAAAGAAAACAAAAGGATCTACCTGTATATTATCATAAATGAAACGAAATGAGGATCAAAGTAGTTGTTTTAACGAGTAAATGAAAAAAATAAATAAAATGATATATCATTAAATTAGAGGTTTAAAAATATAATAGAACTCAGTATATGTACAGTATTTGAAAAACATGTTTATAATTTGTATGGAGAAAATAAATGATTGATATAAAAAAGGGACTGTTTTTATTTGGGCACCTTTACCGTGTGTCACTTTTCTGAACATATTTTAGGTAATGTTTTTCTCACAAAATTGAATATTTTTATATAGTCTGTTATTGCAAACAATAGATACAATTTGTAAATTGCTGGTATATATAAAATGTAAATATTCCAACCATTATTTTTTGAGAATCGACTGGTGCAATGAAATCGAAAACAAATCAATTTTTTAAAAAATAATATTACAAATATATGTTATTAATATTTGTTTATCCTCTGTTTTTCCTTTGTGTCTGATTCTAATCTTAAGTAAGCATAGTCATTGTTTTTAGCTAAAGCAAAAGAGTCGGAAATAGAACAAATAATTAGCAAATAATTAGCAAAAATGGCAATTAATTTTTATGTAAGTCATATTTGATTGTGTTAAAGTGCAGCTTAATATACATTAATTGTCAATTCTATCGCTGCTAACTTATTTACACAAGTGGCAGTCAAAGCAATATACGAAATCACATAACTCATTTGTCGCTGAAAGTGAGCGATACTATGAACTCTTCTTAACTTTTCATTTTTTGAACAAAAAATAAGACATATATAGTCAATATTTTTACAACACTTGCATTAATAAATTTACAAATTATATTTATTACAGAAAAATGTAAAAAACAGCTTCAACTTTTCAGGTTGTTCTCTTTTGATCGAATGTAATTACAATCTAGAAATCTTGATTAAATTTGATAAAAACGAATCAACCTGTAGAAGCTTTTCACCGATTTTAATCGGCAATCCTCTTTTTCTTTTTATATATTCTTTTACAGTAATGATTTAATAATGATGTTACAATTTTTTAATGATAACGGTAATGCCAGAATTAGGAAAGTAACTTCTGAAAAATAACTCGTTCATCATTACGCATTATTCATTTAAAAAAATAATTTGTTTCTTTATTCATTAGGGAATTAAGATGGATAAGTTACAGCAAATTAAGATAAACTTAATTCTAGATGCCTCTTAATAGTGGAATTTATTATGCATGCACTGTTAAATTTATAATATCATTCAATTTTTCGCCGTTCGGATTCGGTGTTAAACTGTATTCCCTCGTGTGTTGATAAACTCTAAAAAGTAAGAATGAAACTACTATCAAATACAAAAACATCAAATAGAAAAACATGTTCACACTCTGTGGACATACAATTTCATCACCATTGTTTATTACAGTAGTTCGAAAGGTAAACATGATTTGTAATATATCGACCCATTGAAACAGACAATGTGATAAAATATATCCACAGGATATGTTTTTTTATTTGATAGTATGTTTTTGTTTTGATAATAATTGCATTCTTATTTCTTTAGAATTTGTCAACACTCGAGGGAACCAGGGAAGACTATAATTTAATGCCGAATCGCGAGTCAATCGCACTCGGAGCCACTTGGTTTAAAACCATATCGTTAATTATCAATTACTGTTTTAAGTACAAATATATACTGCCTTAAAATTAACAAAATACAAGAATCTATTATATAAATATCGGCCTATTAGTTTTTAAAAAAGAATTCCCCTTTAATCCCTTATACTTTTTGTAACTAGGTCTATTTCTGCAATTCACGCTCAGATAACACAACTGATCGATTTAAACTAAAAAAGAAAAAAGATTAAAAAGATAAAAAGATAAAAAGATTTTCTTTACTTCTTTATGAATTAGTTTTGTTCGAAATGAACTTAAAAAAAGAATTCCTTTTTGACAATTAACTCCATAAAAATATTTCTTACAGAGTTAAATTGAAGTTAATTTAGGAATCCTTTTTTGTTTATAATGAGTTCGAAAAAAATTCATTTTTGATCTGGTCACAATATTTATTCCCGTTACAAGTCATGATCTGCCGCCATTAAAATTGGACTTGAGTGATTGCTACGAGCGTATTAGAAATTAGTTTTTGCAATAGCATTTTGTATACATACATACAAAAAAATATACATACAAAATTTATATTACATTTATATATATTCATATGCATACATAATCATATGTTTAAATATAAAAATAAAATTTAATTTGAATAAAAAATGAAGTATGATTTATTCTTAAAAATTAAGAAATATATAAAAATATGAATGAATAAAAATATTTTGCTGCGGCAAAAAATATGATAATGGTTTGAATCCAAACAAGTGATAAATCAATGGCTGCATTCAGCAGTCAAAGCAGTAGATATATATTTACGTTGTTTTCAAATCGAAAAAGGATGATAGAATGTCGCTAGAATATTTACAGTGTACCCTATTTCGACAGTTACGAAAAATACCGAGATGTCCATTTTTCAATAATCCCCTGATAAAAAAAAATAGAGAATGATTGAGAACGATAGGATTTTTATCAATTTGTATCATTTAATCATTTTCTATAAGTTTATATCATTTTCTATCGTTGACCGCGTGAGCATCACGATATTTATCGGATATGAATTTCATCATATATTTAATTATTAAGGATTTTATAAGATTTGTTTTACAAGATTTCCATAAGATCTGATTCAAATTATGAATTTACGAACCAAATTCTATTTTCAAAATAGGATAGGATTTTTCTATCATTCTCTATCAACTTTTTTTAACAGAGTTATATATGATCGATTGCTTACGCAACAATTTAAAATTTCTTTGATCATTTTAATTTAAATATTATTTCAAAATTGAGTTAAAAAAAGTACATAATGCAAAAAATTGTAAAAGACTACTTAAACTGCGTTCCACTTAATGCTCACAATGCTCGCGAGCATTGTTTGTCCTTGTTTAATATTTGATAAACAACAAAGATGAAATAATTCCATGAGCGTTAAGTGGTTTAATATTATAAATCGTATAATTTTTTTATGTATAATGTATGTGTGTGTGTGTGTGTGTGTGTGGTGTGTGTGTGGTGTGTGTGTGGTGTGTGTGTGTGTGTGTGTGGTGTGTGTGTGTGTGTGTGTGGTGTGTGTGGTGTGTGTGTGGTGTGTGTGTGTGTGTGGTGTGTGTGTGTGTGTGTGTGTGTGTGTGTGTGTGGTGTAAAATGTGTGTGTGTGTGTGTGTGTGTGTGTGTGTGTGTACATTACTGAATGAAATTTTTGTATTCATTATTAAGATTATTAAATCACAAACCACCTATCTTATCGACGGTACATCTTTTGAAATAAAATCGACCATTACTGACCACGTTGTTAACAGGGCTTCCAAGGTCCTCTTGAAAACTGAAAAAAATTGGAATGCTGTCAAAAAAGGATATGGACTTATTTAATGAACGAGCAACCGCAGCGGTAAACTTTTTTAGCAATTAATTTCTAATATTTATGGATTATTATGTTAGAAATTTATGATAATTTGATACTTTCGATAGTTCAAATAGTTGTGAGGTTATGTGATTTTCGTATTGTTCAATATTACAGGAGAGAGAAATATTCGGTTTAAAACAGCAACTTGAATCGCTGCAACGGAGCATTACGACTAACATTCCGAGTAATATAACTAAGGAGGAGTTTGAGAAATTGCAACAGGAAAACGCCAAATTGACTCACAGGATAACGATACTTAAAAGGGTAGATTTTAAATATAGAGAATTTTTATTATTGTGACAATTTATTTAAGTTTTTTATCTATTTCGCATATGTATTTATTCTTTATTATAATTTTTTATAGACTGTGGAAATGCAGAGAGATAAACTAGACAATAAGATGGAATTGTTTGGAACTGCAGATACAATTAGTATAAAAGACAATCTTTCTGCTGTTTTTCACAAGGCTATCAGTGCTGCTTATCCTGATATACTGGATCCACCAATAATAGTGACTACTAGCACTAATCCTAAATTTGGAGATTATCAGTGTAACAGTGCAATGCCTTTAGCACAACAACTAAGTAGTTCTGGTAAAAATTGATTACTTAAAAAATATTTAGTATTTTATTCTCAGTATTGTATTCAACAAAACTTGACGAGAAAAAACAAATTCAATATTATTATTATTATTATTATTATTATTACAGGTATTAAAATAAATCCACGTGATGTTGCTAAAGAAATTATGTCCAAGCTGAAAGTATCCTCTGTTATTAAGAAATATGAAATAGCTGGTGCAGGATTCATAAACATATATCTAAAACGTGAATTTGGGCAATCTGTTCTATGCAATTGGTTATGGGCCGGTGAAGTTCTTCCTCCGTATGTTAAGAAGAAAAGAGTAATTGTAGATTTTTCTAGTCCTAACATTGCCAAGGAAATGCATGTTGGACACTTAAGGTCTACAATAATCGGAGATAGTATCTCAAGATTGTTAGAATACTTAGGACATGACGTGTTGAGACTTAATCATGTAGGTGACTGGGGCACACAATTTGGTATGTTGATAGCGCATCTTCAAGATAAATTTCCCAACTATTTAACTATTACTCCTCCAATTGAAGATCTTCAGGTAATTATATAATCATATAGTATAATTACTTTATAAATATACTGATAATTTATATATTATATTTGTGTATACATACAGACTTTTTATAAAGAATCTAAGACTAGATTTGATGAAGACGAAGAATTCAAAAAACGTGCGTACAAATGTGTCATTAAATTGCAAGCTTTCGAGCTTAATATAACAAAAGCATGGAAAATGATATGTGATGTATCTAGGCAAGGTAAATATTATACAATAATTAGCTGTTTTACAATAATTAGCTATTGATATAATTAATCATTTAGAAAGAAAAATATCTTAATTATTTTTGTATTTGATGCAGAATTAGAAAAAGTGTATACTCGATTGGATATCAAATTGATAGAAAGAGGTGAATCATTTTATCAGAAATATATGGAATCGATAGTTCTAGAGCTAGAATCAAAAAATATGCTAGAAGAAGATAATGGGCGAAAGATAATGTGGGGAGAGAAACATGGTAATGGAGTACCATTAACTATAGTAAAATCTGATGGAGGTTTTACATATGATACGTCAGACATGGCTGCTATTAAGCATCGTGTTGAAAAGGAAAGAGCAGATTGGGCAAGCATCATATTTCACATTTTAGCATCTTTATATCTATTATGTCAATAAATAATTTTATAATTTCTATAATTTTACAGTTGATATATGTGACAGATGCTGGTCAATCTCTGCATTTCCAAACCATAAGAAGTTGTGCCAAAAGAGCAGGTATCTTGAAAAGCTTTCATAGGATGGATCATGTTAGCTTCGGTGCTGTCTTAGGTGAAGACAAAAAGAAATTTAAAACCAGATCCGGTGACACTGTGAAACTCAGCGAATTATTGGACGAAGGTAATAAAGCAATCTTAAGTATTAGTTTGGTACTATTACTTCATTTCTAAAAATTTAACTGTTACGCATATTGCACTTCAGGCCTGAAGAGAGCACTGCAGAAACTGAGAGAGAAAGAACGTGACAAAGTATTATCGCAAGAAGAGCTAAAGGCAGCCCAAGAATCAGTGGCATACGGTTGCATAAAATATGCCGATTTACTGCATAATAGAAATCACGAATATGTATTTTCATTTGATAAAATGTTAGAAGATAAAGGCAACACAGCCGTTTACTTATTGTATGCTTTAACTCGAATTCGTTCTATCGCCAGAACGGCGAACATTACAAAAGACGAGTTGCGACAGCGTTCGCATGAAGTTCCGATCTCATTAGAACACGAAAAAGAATGGAAACTGGCCAAAGTATTATTAAAATTTCCTGATGTAATTCTTGGCGTTACCGAAGATTTATACTTGAATCCGCTCTGCGAATTTTGTTACGAGGTTTCATGCGCATTTACAGAATTTTATGACAAATGTTACTGCGTAGAAAAGAATCAATCTGGTGAAATAATAAAAATAAATATGGGACGTCTCTTGCTCGTGGAAGCTACTGCGCTTATTTTAGAGAAATGCTTTAGTTTATTAGGTTTAAAACCTGTTGCACAAATGTAAAAGGATAAAAGAAGACATACCATATATGTACTTTAATATAATAAAATATAAAAAAGTAAATTATAAGAGTGTGAAATTAATTTATAGTATTGAAATCTAATAAAATCTAATTTAATAAAAAAGCATTATAATATAAAAATATGTCGATTTTTTTCTTTTACGCAATTTTTCTACATTATTATTTATTATGCTATATACAAAAACTTAAAAAATTAATAAATTATGTTATTATATCCTACATAACATTTATTTTAAACATGTAAATAAAAAATGTTATGAGTTAAGTGTTTAATAAATAATTTTAGTTCAAGATATTGTATATATAAAATTTGTTTTTCAACAATTAAATATTTATAGATCAACTTATTCTTTTTAACTACACTGAATCTGCATTGATTATTCGTTCTTCTTTTCAAGGCACAATTATATTTCAAACTGCAATACCTATATATGTTTCATCATCATATACATATGATTGGTGACACAATGTGCGTGCGTGCGCGCGCGCGCGCGCGCGCGTGTGTGTGTGTGTCGCGTATGTAAGTGAACGCGTATCAGTTGGAGTTCCATGCTGTTCTACCGTCCACGTTCCACGCCTTGAACTATCGTGCAGTTCACAAATATATATAATATTGCTACTTATTGCTGTTTGCAATAAATGTAATTAAAATGGTAAATATATGTGATTATTAAATAATGAGTTTTGCTATTTTTATCACTTATATGTAAGCATAAAGTAAAGTATATCTTTATGCAGCTTAACCTATTTACTGGATATGTAAATATGATATATATTATTGTACTATAAAAATCGGATATATTGAACGGTCAAACAATTGTTTTTATTGCATTTATGACAATTGAATATTATAATAGTTACATTATAATTTATCTATATATCATAATTTAATTTTCGTAATTTTCAATTGTCACAAATGTAATAAAAATAATTATATTATCTGGCCATTTGATTTATAATAATGATATATATATATTATTTTGCATTGTTAAAAAAATATCTTTCGTAATAGACTTCAGAGAGGAAGGGAACCTTTAAAGTTGAATATCTTCAAGAAATTGAAAAAAATGTACAAGCGAAATGGGAATCCGCAAAAGTATATGAAGTGGATGCACCTCTAGATGAGAACTCAAAAAATGAAAAATTTTTTGCAACTTTTCCATATCCTTATATGAATGGACGTCTCCATCTCGGTCATGCATTTTCATTATCAAAATGTGAAGTATGTATATGCAATATTTTTAAATTTTTGTTTTCTTATTTATTATTTTTATATATCTTTTTAACTATTATACTTGTTTATTTTAAATATATGAATAAATTAATAATATGACAGTTTGCTGCTCGATACAATCACCTTTTGGGAAAGAAAGTACTCTTTCCCTTTGGCTTTCACTGCACGGGTATGCCTATTAAAGCATGTGCTGATAAATTAAAGAGAGAAATTGAAACATATGGTTATCCACCCAAGTTTCCTGAAGAAATTGAGATAGTAGAAGAAAAAGAGGATGATGTGTTAAAGGATAAAAGTAAAGGGAAAAAGGTAAAAAATTTTAATAATTTTGATTTTAATAGCATAACAGATATTTTTAGGAAGATGGAGAAAATTATTTATATTAATTTTAGAGTAAGGCAGTTGCCAAGACTGATATAACTAAGTATCAATGGCAAATTATGCAAACTCTTGGTTTACAAGATGAAGAAATCAAGAACTTTGCCAATGCTGCATATTGGTTAGAATATTTTCCACCGCTCGCTGTGCAAGACTTAAAATCTATTGGTCTTTGTGTAAGATAAAAAGTAGAAATTATTTTTGTATAGGTTTCTTAAGTTTCATACATCTGATTTTAAAATTTCTAGGTGGATTGGCGAAGAACATTTATTACAACAGATGTAAATCCATTTTATGACTCTTTTATACGCTGGCAGTTTCATCATTTGAAATCTAGAAATAAAATCAAGTATGGAAAGAGATATACTGTTTATTCACCAAAAGACGGTCAACCTTGTATGGATCACGATAGAGCCTCTGGTGAAGGTGTTGGATCACAAGAATATACATTGATTAAAATGAAAATTCGATGCCCTCAAAAAATTATTAAGTAATACTTTTTTCAAATTATATTAATATTATTTTACAATTTACTATTTTTAATATTATTTACAAAACATTGGGATTTTTTATTTTTTAATTCGTAAACTAAACAGTATAACTTTTATAGGACTTTTGAAAATAAATCAATTTATTTAGTAGCTGCAACTTTAAGACCAGAGACAATGTATGGTCAAACAAATTGTTGGGTTCACCCAGATATGAACTACATAGCGTATAATTTAGCATGCGGGGATATATATATTTCTACAGAACGTGCGGCTAAGAATATGTCCTATCAAGGTTTCTTTAAAGAAGAGGGAAAGATAGATGTTATACAAAAACTCATGGGCAAAGTATTTATTCAATGTAGACATTACTTATATTTTCAAAATCTTTACATAAGAAACGTTTGTAGGACTTACTGGGACTCGAATTGGAAGCACCTCTCACATCCAATAAGGTGATTTATGCATTGCCTATGTTGACGATAAAAGAAGATAAAGGCACTGGTATCGTAACTTCCGTCCCTAGTGATTCCCCAGATGATTATGCTGCATTAGTGGATCTAAAAAAGAAACAACCACTTAGAGAGAAATATGGAATTGCTGACAAAATGGTGTTGCCATATAATCCAGTAAGTAAATAATATATAATGAATTACTTAACTATAAAAGATTGAAAAAAATCATGAAATCTTTCATATTTTTATGTACAGATTCCAATCATCGAAGTTCCAGAACTGGGCAATTTAGTAGCAGTAACATTATATGATCAGTTAAAGATTCAATCCCAAAATGATAAAGTTAAACTCACAGAAGCAAAAGAAATAGCATATTTGAAAGGATTTTATGACGGCGTACTATTATTAGGTCCATATAAGGGCAAAAAGATACAAGATATTAAGAAATTAATTCAAAAAGAGATGATTGACAATGGCGAAGCAGTAATTTATTATGAACCTGAAAAAACTATTATTTCAAGATCAAATGATGAATGTGTTGTGGCTTTATGTAACCAATGGTATTTGGATTATGGAGAGGAAAATTGGAAGAAGGAGACGCTTGAGGCTTTAAAAAATCTCGATACCTTTCACGATGAAGTTAGAAAGAATTTCCTTGCTTGTTTTGACTGGTTACATGAGCACGCATGTTCCAGGACGTATGGACTCGGTAAATGAATTATCACAAAATAATTAGAATTATTTTTATAAATATCTTCTTAATCTTAAATTTTTAGGCACCAAGTTACCATGGGACGAAAATTGGCTGATAGAATCTCTCTCAGATTCTACTATTTACATGGCTTATTACACAATAGCGCATTTTTTGCAAGGAGAAACCTTTAAGGGAGACAAACTTAATGCAAACGGAATAAAGTAAATAAGATGATAAGATTAAAATTGATGTATATTATATTTATTTGTATTTATTGTGATTAACATTTAATCGTTTTTATTAGAGCTTCTTATATGACTTCGGAGGTGTGGGATTACATCTTTTTCAAAGATGCTAAACTGCCTGAGACAAATATAAAGAAAACAGTTCTAGATCGTATGAGGCACGAATTTCAGTATTGGTATCCTGTAGACTTGAGAGTGTCAGGAAAAGATCTAATACAAAATCATCTTACATATTTCCTTTATAATCATACAGCAATATGGCCAGATCAACCTGAATTATGGCCGCAAGGAATAAGAGCAAATGGTCATCTACTTCTCAATTCAGCGAAGGTAATGCAAAATTATTCAAAATGTTTATATTATATATAAAATTTTAATTGTTCCAATTATACAGATGTCTAAGTCAGAAGGCAACTTTTTAACACTTGCCGAAGCTGTAGAAAAATTCTCGGCTGATGGAATGCGTCTCTGTTTAGCTGATTCTGGTGATTCGATAGAGGACGCTAATTTCATTGAAAGTACAGCTGACGCAGGAATTCTGAGATTGTATAATTTTATAGAATGGATAAAAGATATACTAAATACGGATGCTTATTTCTGTCAAAATAATGTTTCACGTGAATTGAAACATTTTCATGACAACGTTTTTATAAGGTATTTCTATTTTTTTTATTTTCTAAAATTATTATAGAACTGAAATGATTATAGAACTGAAATGATTTATTTTATGTATTTATTTGATGTAGCGAAATAAATTCAAAAATACAAGAAACTAATGAAAATTATTCGAAAATGCTTTACAAGGAAGCATTGAGGACAGGATTTTATGAACTTCAAACAGTTAGAGATAAATATTTACAATTAAGTCCAGAGGTTAATCTAGATTTAATTAAGAAGTACATAGAGGTTCAAATAATTCTTCTATTTCCTATTTGCCCACATGTTTGTGAATATATATGGGGAGACTTACTTAAAAAAGTAAGTTTTAGGATTGAAGCATAAATATTTATAAATTATTAGATTATCTTGATAGAAATACAATTTAAATAATTTGGTTTATTATAGGATGGCAGTATATTAGATGCAAGCTGGCCTGCTGTAGGAGATATAAGCGAAATTTTAATAAAATCGTCTCAATATCTCATGGATGCTGCTCATACATTTAGAATTCTTTTAAAAAATTACATGACACCGAAAAAATCTAAGACAAAGAACGATATTATCATAGAAAAACCTAGTCAAGGAATTATCTGGGTAGCTAAGACTTATCCTTCTTGGCAAAGTATCATCCTTGAAACGATGAGAGAAATGTATTGCGTAAGTAGTATCAATTTAGTATGTTGTATAATTAACATTGCTTGTACATTAATATTTTTACTATTCTATAGAAAAATGGAAATAAATTGCCAGACAATAAAGTTCTTTCCACAACGTTTGCCGGCAAAGCAGAATTGAAAAAATATATGAAAAGGATAATGCCATTCGTGCAGCTTGTTA